AGGTTTTATTAAATGCTATTAGCTAGTAATTATATATATATATATATATATAGATATAGGAAATAAAATATTTCCTAACATTTTTCTCTCCAATAGTGGAACTGTGGAAGTTTTGAATAAAGAGCCAAAAATATTTTGATGTCCAGCTGTTGATGATTCTCTCTTTTTATTATATGTCTTAAAAAAATTCACACCGATCATAAGATTCATAACAAAGGAAACGCCCTGCCCACCCCTTAGTAGTAGCACCCCACTACCCTATCTATTTTTTTCCTTTTTTTTTTCTTTTTTTTTTTACAATCAATTAGTATTTTATAAAAGTACACATCATTCAGTTTTATTTTATTTTTTTAATTTAAAATGAAGTCTTATCTTTGTTGTTAACAATAAAACGAAAAAACAAAATAAAATAAAATAAAATAGTCCCTTAGTTTTTGTTGTTTTTTATTTTTATTTATTAACATTAAAATAAAATAAAATAGTCGCCTAGTTTTTGTTATTTTTTTTTTTTTATTTTCATTTATAAACAATGTAGGGTTGGCTGAATTTTATTTTTCGCCGTATCTATCGCATCATTATTTCAGAGAGTTTCAATTTTATACATTACCATAATGTCAATATATATATATCAAATCGAAACTCTGAACCGGTGTACAACGATCTTTTTGGCTTCATCATACAATTTTTATTTTAGTGATGGTAAATCATTATAAAAAGAACCAGAAAAACTCGAATCGTTCTATTAGATTTTGATAATAATTAGATATTTTCAATACTTACATTTCTTATAAAGGTTAATCTTAATGTATAAAACGTTATCTTTGGGATAAAAAGGTTAGATTACTAAGAATCTAGCATTGAAATTCTAGTTTACAAAAATTGTGAATCGCTATTTACCGCCCCCCTTTTACTAATCACCGCCCCTCAATTACGTTTTTGCCCTTCACACTATCTCTCTACTTTCTCTCTCTACTCTTTCCTCCTCGACTTTTCACAGCTCTTTTGACCGTCAAAAAAATGTCGAAAAAATCCGAAAAAAATACCATGACATCGGCAAGACATTGAAGATTGACTATGTATTTTTTTTTATATTTTTTTACTTTGTAAATAATTTTTAATTTTTTATTTATTTTTTTTTTTTTTGCGCGTCCGGACGGAATTTCCGGACGCACCATGGGGCGTCCGGACGGACGGACCGGACGCACCATGGGGTGTCCGGCCGGACCGTCCGGACACACAATACGGCGACCAGACGGTTCGGCCGGACACCCCATGGTGCGTCCGGTCGGTCCGTCCGGACACCCCATGGTGCGTCCGGTCCGTCCGTCCGGACGCCCCATGGTGCGTCCGGAAATTCCGTCCGGACGCGCAAAAAAAAAAAATAAAAAAAAAATTAAAAATTATTTACAAAGTAAAAAAATATAAAAAAAATACATAGTCAATCTTCAATGTCTTGCCGATGTCATGGTATTTTTTTTGGATTTTTTCAAAATTTTTTTGACGGTCAAAAGAGTCGTGAAAAGTCGAGAGGGAAAGAGTAAAGAGATAAAGTAGAGAGATAGTATGAAGGGCAAAAAAGTAATTGGGGGCGGTAAATAGTAATACCCTACAAATTTGCCAATGTCAACTTCGAATATCCAAACTTAAAATAATCTCTCTATTATCTCTACATTCAAAATCATTCAATTTATTCATGTTTTATGTTGGTAATTATTGAAACTAGTGTTGCTACCCGTGTGATGCACAGGATACAATATAAAAAAAATTATTTTTATTAAATATTATTAAATTATTTAAGATAATATGTCAATTCTATTCGACACAACATATGAACTCTGTAATAATATAATATTTATTTAAATTCCTCACCTTCTTGAACATGGTGTCAGTGAGATCAAATAAAATATTATAAAAATGTAAGATTTAAAAAATAATAATTGTATATTGCTAGATAACTGGCCAACGTATAATCTATAAAATTATTTTTTATTTATAATCACTCTAATTACATAAAATACTAACTTATGATAAATAACTTTTAATTTTTTGTAACTTTTATCTCTTGTGCAACGCAAAATTTTCATGGTAAATAATTTATTTTGTATTTTAATATTTTTTGTATCTATTTATTTATTTAATTCATTTAACTCAAGATATATAATAATTTAATTAATAAGAAAATTTAATAATTTTATATTCCAATGACTATAAAATCTTATAATTTCAATTATTATTTGACTATAGAATTTTATTTACTCATTGTTTTTCATAAAACGATAAATAATAAAAAAATTATTTTTTAACACTTTGAATAATATTTTTTGTGTATATAGATATTTTAATGTGAAAATTATAATTCTTAATTTTACCCGACGATAAAAATATAATTTATTAATATATATTCATTAGATTTTAGTTTATTCATGGTTAAGTTGACTATATTTTATAAAAGTTATTAATATTTTAATTCTTTCATTAAGCTAATATAATACTAACATAATCATTTTCATTATTTTATCATATTTAAGTGTTTTTTTATTGATTATCATAATTCATATCTACAACCATGAGATGATAACAAAACTAATCACAATATTTTTTATAATTATAATGAGTGATTTTTTTTTTAAATTATGTCATCAGAAGTATTATGAAATTGGTATTATTGATCTTATTCAAAATATATCTAATCGATTAATCATTCTATTTAAGTGCGTGTGTGTGTTTGTTAATATGTTACTGTTGATTTTTTTTTATATTTACTCAATCGTCAAAACAAAACTTGTACTAATACATTTATATCTTTGGGTATATTATTAAAACAATTAATTTATCTTCACATATCTTTGAGACCAAAATTTTTCAAGCAAAAATTAGTTTAAATATTTTGAAAGTTGTACTAATACATTTATATTTTTTAGTATATTAGTAAAACAATTAATTTATCTACGAATTCTTAGACCAAATTTTAATTAAAACAATAAATAGTTTAAATCTTCTCAAATTCCTTAATGAACTAATCAATTTTAGTTTTATGTAATAAATAAATGTCTAATTATAATTGTCAAATTTAGCTGAAATATTTAGGCGGGAAAATTTGTGACAAATATAATAAAATGGATTGGTCCATTATATAAATGTAGATTTCGATCTAAAATTTATGTGGCCCATTTTTTTTTATCAAAATGGGTACAAAATAAAAGTTGTACCAATTTATATTCTTAAAATGATAGCAGACAAAAATGAAAAAATAATGGATCAAAATAGCCTTACTTTCCCAATAAATTTTGCTTCTTACTAGTTATATTTTAATGGTATTTATATTCCATCGAATTTATTCCCATCATATTATTAAAGGAATTTATATTTTTAAAATAAAGAACTATTTTATTTTACAAAATCTGTTTTTGCATGTATGTTAAACTTGATTACTCTCACACTACAAGCATATGAAATGTCAATAAAAAATTCCAACGAAAATTTCAATAGATATTTCAATGGTATTCTTTATTTTAGAATTTTCTATTGGATTTCAGCGAAAATTCCAACAAAAATATATCCGTTGGAATGAGTTTTTCATTGGAATTTCAGTTAGATTTTGACGATTCCAACGATACGTTTTCCAACGGTTGAAATAAAGGTGAAAATAAAAATTTCAACAGAAAAAAACCGTTAAAATAATAGTCGTTGAGTGATAAAATTTCATCAAAATTCCAATGGAGAAATCATTCCAACGGAATAATTCCGTCGGGATTTTCGTTGGAATTATTCCAACAGAAAATATACCATTAAAATACTCGTTTAAATTTTCATTGTAATATATTATTGTAAGATTTTTCGTTGAAATATGACATTTTTTTAGCGTCAGGTTATTGCAATTTGCAGGCCGCCGTGGGGTAGGTTGGATTAAGGTCACCCACCATTTGCCTCAGTGCCCACCATTATTAATTATTAATATATAAATAATTATATAAAAAATATATAGTATAAAATTAGTTTTAATAGCCACTTTTTTCTTGATTCTCTAATGTAGGTATTTAGTTTTTTTTTTTTTTCATTTGAAAATTTTCATGAAAAAAAATTGTTATTAATTATTAGTAATAAAATAGTTTTATTTTGACATATTTTTTCTTATTTTTTTCATTTGTTTTTTAAATTATTCTTCTTCTTTGAATATACAAAATATTATTCTGTGACTACACAATTCAATAATGTTATTCATAGTCATTAAAAGAGTCAATTGAAATCAACTCGTTTAAGATGAGTTTCAATTTATCGTTGTTATGTATTTTTCTTAAACATCAAAACTAGTAATTTATTCTCGATAAAAAATTGTTACTAAATATTATGTACTCCAATGAATATAAGATATATATTTAAGTGAAGAAAAAATTTAGAGTTTTAATGGTTTATTTTTTGTTTTTAGGAAAAAAAAAAATCCTCTCTACTTTTTAGACATGGTCGCGGGCCGGACCGGACTGCATCCCGGAACCAGACCGGTGCCGGCCCGAAAAGCTGTGGTTTCGAGAACCGGGACCCTTCCCTTGTGGTTCGGTTTCGGTTCACAAATTATTTTTTTTTTTGGTTCCGGCAGGCCAGGACTGGGTCGGGACTGAGCCGGGCCAATTGACTGACCATCTCTACCTCCTTTTCATTTGTGATTTTTAGGATATTGCTCATTCTTTTTAACAAAACCTAGTTATAATTTTACGTTAAATTTAACAAAAAAATAAAATAAAATTATAGCTTGTAAAATTATTCTTTTTTGTTTATGATTTCTTGAAAAAAATCAACTAAAAAACATTTCACACATTTAGCTAAGGCAAGTTCAAGAGAGGCATCATTAGTTGCCTTATGGTCCCTGAAAGTCCACAGTCCACACCAATGTCAACTTCCCCTCTTATTCTCTTCACACGTCTTTTACCCCTCCGCTGCATATATATATATATAGAGCCCTTTGAAGCCACATTCATGCACACCACAAAAACATCAATTTAGCTATGATGAAGATACATATTGTGTTGTTTGCTCTATTAATCTTTGTTACCACTGCTTTTGGAAATTTTTACGATGATTTCGACATCACATGGGGAGACGGCCGTGCGAAAATATTAGACAACGGGAAGCTTCTCACGTTGTCCTTAGACAGGGACTCCGGTTCTGGTTTTAGGTCCAAACGGCAATACATGTTTGGGAAAATCGACCTGCAGCTAAAGCTCGTTCCTGGTAATTCCGCAGGCACAGTCACTACCTATTACGTAAGTTCTCCCACGATGAATTGAATTAGCACGCGGTTATTTCTATTATTTACAGATAACTAATATTTTGTTTTTACTGTTTCGGGTTTCAGTTATCTTCGTTGGGCTCGACTCACGATGAGATCGACTTTGAATTTCTTGGGAATCTAAGTGGGCAACCGTACATTCTCCACACGAATGTATTCGCGGAAGGCAAAGGCGGTCGAGAACAACAGTTTTATCTGTGGTTTGATCCTACGAAGGACTTCCACACCTACTCCATCCTATGGAACCCTCAAACCATCATGTAAGTAGTTAGTTAAGGATAAATTGCAAAGATAAACAATCTCTAACAATTTGACTTAAACTTGGAAGTGATACTAATTATGATTTCACACTGTCAACAGATTCTCAGTAGATGGTATTCCAATCAGACAATTCAAGAACCTCGAGTCAAAAGGCATACCTTACCCTAAGAACCAGCCCATGTGGATATACTCGAGCCTTTGGGATGCGGACGATTGGGCCACAAGAGGTGGGCTCGTGAAGACCGATTGGAGCCAGGCCCCTTTCACGGCCTCATACGCAAACTTCAGTGCACTGGCCTGTGCAGATGCCACCGGTTCTTGCTCACAAAATTCGTCGGCCGATTCTTGGTTTTCACAGTCACTAGATTCAAGTGGCCAGGGGACAATAAAATGGGTGCAAAAAAACTACATGATTTACAACTATTGCACGGATTATAAGCGCTTTCCGCAAGGGTTCCCATTCGAATGCTCCGTTGCATGATACAGAATTTCGAAGCACTTCCAAGTTTTAAACCAATATATCAAATATTACTTTGTTTTATTCTTTACGAACATGTTTAGTAATAACTGGGATGTTTATTGTGAATTTTAAATGTTCAAATTTGGGGTTTATGTGAATAGATTGAGGGAAAGTTTGCAGTGCTTCATTCTCATTCTTCTTTTTTGGAACTTATAACTCTTTTTATTTCTTTTCGTTCAAACTATCTGAGTATTCATTTCACTTGCACATTCCGATAAATTATGTCGACATTATGTGAGAATACAAAATTAGTCCTCGCTAATGCATCGTTATCAACACAACATCGTTATATTTAGTTAGTTCCTTTACATCATTACCAACACTAAATACCATGATTCTTCTGTACAATTAATTAACTATCACAAACACAAACTACATGGGATGAATTCAATACTCAATAAGGTTATTAGCACACATTTGCAGAATCAATACAAAGCCATGTTACAAACAATGGTAATTGCAAGAGTCAGTTCTATACAGTTCTTCAGCCAATTTATGAACAGCTATTAACCAAGTCCGATGCGAGTGTAGAGAGGCCAATACCAAAACCAAACTACTTTAGATATCATTGTGAAGATTGTTCTTAAAACAGATAACTACAGAGGAGAAGATAGATACGGTCAAACATCGACCAGTCAACTAGAAATGTTGTACATCATTCAATATTCAGAAAATCAACCCCAATTTATAAAGGCCAACAAGCATGATGCTCTACCACAGTATGAGAGTGTAAGATGTTTTTTCCTGACATAATTGACAACCTAGGACAAGTTGTTCTATGTTACAAATACACCATGATGTAGACCACCGAATTTCTAAATGAATACGATAACAGGAATAGTGACTGTTTTCTCATTGATTCCATACCCCAGTTAAAATTTCTGAAAACTTTTACTAACATTATCGATGAACTCGTTGCTTTCTCATTGATTCCAGACTCTAGAGAAAATTTCTGAAACTTTTACCTATGGTAACAATGAACCCTCACCACCAAACAATAACTGAGGAAATTTATTAAGAAAATATTGTGATCGACTTAATATTCCAAAAGTGTAAAGGAAATTAAAAATATGCGAATATACAAAAAAAAAAATTGGGAAAATGAAACACAAAAGTCAAAAATTTCAGTCCAAACATTTGATTTTTCGACATGAGTGTTAAGTGGAAAAATGACCAATTGAAATGAAAAGGATTACTCTGAATAATGAAACGAACAAGAAGATTAATAGATTGTTTTGACGAAAGCTAAATCAAGTGTTGATCAAGGAACCTTATGGATGGGCCAAAGGATAACATATGAAAATGAGATACCAAGCAGTTCTATAAGCTTCAAACAGAACATGCCAAGAATTGAAACAAATGCATAAGGAAGAAAGTGAAAGTTATATCAATCCAATTCAAATCCAAATTTCCTCTCAACATCATAGACACGCCTCGTAAAAACAAATCAAGGCTTATCCAAAGACCATAAAAACAATCATCCAAGGAAAGCCATACAACATAAGCATTTGGAAAACACACGCAACGTCTAGCAGGCAGCTCAAAGATTACTTTTTTTTTTTAAAATCCTCTTACCTCAGGAAACCAAATAATGCCTCACAAATCAATTAATGACTACAGTAAAAAATATAGATGAATGTGCTCCAATAAAAACGGCACCAAGCATCAAGCATCTACTTGCCTCCCAAGGAAAAAAAGCTCTCGGTGTAGAGTCGAAGCCAGTTCCACTCACCTGCAATCAAATGGTCCATCCTCTTAATGCACTTCCTCTTCTCATCATAACAGTCCACACTCTCTTGCTTCACATCCAACACGATTTTCCCTTCCCAGTAATCCAAAGGCACAATTAAGCTCAGCATGTCATTAGTATACACGTTCATATTAATACTATACTCCCGTACCCACCTCTGATTCTGAATATCCTCCAAGACCCATATATCCATAGTTAAAGGCTGAGCAACAGTGTCCACCAAGCACAACCTCTCTCCCAACTCCACCAAAGACCACAAGCCATGTGGGTCGAAACAGCCCTCGGGAGGGTTTAGCGTCCCGAATTCTTCCCTCTCAAGATCAAAGGTCACGATTGCCTCATCCTCCGGCTGGTCATAATCATCCCAAATCATCCAATAGAAAACGTTCTCCACCAAAACTCCCCAACCGCGGACCACAAACCGACAATTCGCATCCATCACCTTCCACGAACAATCTTTTCCCCCATCCCTCAGCCTCAGGACCTCACACCCGATGTCGTAATCCATGTGAAGCTCCACACTCCTGTCGAACAAGTGCACCAAGACGTATTCATCCCTTTCCCTGATGTAACCCATTCCCGCATTTACCTCACCCGAGGTGCAGCAACTGGCCTCAGGCAGTTTCACCACCAGCTGCGTGCTAGGGTTGCAGGCGTAGAACCCGGACTCGCTCACGAAGCAGACGAGGTCCCATTTCGAGGGCAGCATCTCGACGTTATTTCCGTCGTCGTCCACAAACAACGAGAAATCGTGGTTTTTGCGGTACCCGTCGAGGTTTAGGGCGGAGAGGTCGATCCTGGTGCGTTTTTTGGCGAGGGGCTCGTGTATGAGAGGGGTTTTTCGGGCCAGCACGATGTTGGGGCTGCGGCAGGCGTGGTCTCGGTAGGCGGACACGAAGTGCGGGTCCCCGATCAGGCGGAGCCATTGCTTGCAGACGCATCTGCACTTGCCTAGGGTTTTGGCGGGGAGCCTGAGGAAAATGTCGATGAACAGATCGGTGGGGAGAGCGGCGTACGCCGTCGGATCGGGGACGGGGTCGTAGTGCGGCGAAGAAGGCGGAGACGGAGAGGAAGATGAACGGGACGATGTTGATGGGATCCGATTTGGGGCTTTTTTCTTCATTTTTCAGTTGTCTTCCTCCCCCGGAGAAAGAATCTCCATGGGAAAGGGGGAGATATGAAGAGAAATTGTGTATGTGTGTGTGTGTGTGAGAGAGAGAATGAGAGAGAGAGAGAGAGAGAGAGAGAGAGAGAGAGAGAGAGAGAGAACGCGCTTTTGTGGGAAGTTTTGGGCCAATTGGTATTGTGCTTTAGCAAAAAGAGTGGTCCAAAGGGACAATATTAGGTACAAGTATTTCTTAGCCATCAAAGGTGAAGATGAATATATATTAATGAGAAAATAACTTTTCAAACTTGTTTTGAGAATGAGTCTAAGCTTGATTGTTTATGAAATAATTTGTTTTTCACACCGTTAGATAAAAAGATACTTTTTCACACCACAAAATGTGAAAAAATTATGCGATAAAATAAATTAAGAAATATTTATGTGATTAACTATGCGACAAACTGACGAAAATGATTGATAAAGTGTGAACAAATTATGCGATAAACTATGCGACAAACATGCTATGATAATCGATAAAGTACGAAACATTATGCAATACAATATGCGAAAAACAGGCAAGAGTATTTGATAAACTGCGAAATATTTATGCAATAACAAATGAAGATATTCGATAAAGTGTGAGACAAATTATGTGCAAAGTACGCGACAAATATGCAAAGATGATTGATAAAGTGCAGAGTAAATTATGCAATAAAAAATTATGCGACCAACAATGGCGATGACGATCGTTTGTCTATTCACCTTCTCCTTTTAATCTCCTCCAACCCATTTTGATCTCGATCCAACGGCTACGGTTGTTCGACCTCTCGAGCTTCAAGCTTTTGCGCCTAGACACCGTTGTCAACCACCGCGCTCTCTTACTTTCCCAAAACAACCAGCAATCTTCATGAGTTGATGATTAAGTTTTTCCTTCATTGTTATCTATTTGCATGTTCGATTTCTTTTTTCAATCTTTTTTTCCCTTTCGTTTCCCTAACTTTCTTCCTTAATTTCTCCTTTTAAAACCTAAACTTTCATTTTCTTCCTTCTCCTTTTTTCAGATTCACCCGCCTCCCATGCCACTAGCAAGTCGGACGCTGACTCCATCGGCCATGACATGAGCCCCCCGAGCTCCTTTTGCGACCTCTTCTTCTTTGGGACTTATCCTTGAGCCTTCTCAATTAGAAATAGGGAAAACCCTACACCGATAACCCTATTCCTCAAAACGAAGGAACGACACTTTCACTTCATAAACAGATAATGGTTCATAGTACCAAAAGGACTCATAACACTTCATAAAAACAGATAATGATTCATAGTACCAAAAGGACTCATTACACATTAAAAAGACATTACACCCCAATCCAAGTCTCCGATCATCTATCAAACACCACGTAATACCTATAGAAATCTTTTAAGACAAATAAAAAAGTGCACAGTTTTCAGTCACCACCAGAAATCCTAAACAGTTGCAGAACCACATCAGAAACATCCCTCCATGGGCAAACCTTACCTTTTTTTCACGTTCACAAAAGAAAGCTCAAATATAGCTATCAATGAGAGAATTCCTCATCTCGTTGACAATGGCACTCGGTTGAGCCTCTCTCAGCTTGAAAACGCTCTCAATAACAGACAGCTCGGTGGCAGTGGTGTCAGACCCACAGAAGGCCGTCCAGTCGTTGACCGTAAGTCCAGCAGCTATGACCTCACTGCCACGGTTCACAGTCCCAGCAACCAATGGGACCTGAAGGAGGGTCGAGAGCTCGTCTAGATCCTCTATCGAGGTGTGAGGATGGACCTGTGTTTTTCACCAAATCATCAAATTTGTGCTTTTTGTTTCTTGGCAGTTTGGTGAAAGTGAAGTCCATGTTTTTTTTTCTTATATAACTTATATTATAGAAAAAATAAGAAAGTATGAATTATTAAAACCTTACCAAGCCACCTCTGTTGGAAAAGGCACAGTAACTTCCAACAAGTATATTGCCAGCCACAGTCTGCCTGAAGACTTCCACCCCAAGAACATCAGCGATCATCTCCTCAGTTTCCTGATGACATATACATCAACAGTAGTAAGTTCTATAGTTCAATATATGAAAGCTATAGAGTGCAGAATAGACGCTTTTTCCATACATAGAGAAGATACACATGACAGATTGAAAAATGGGTTAAAACAAGCAGCAAAATCATCCAGTGAGAAAGAAAAAGAATTACATAGTAGCAAAAAACAGTTCACCAGAACAAATAATAATACAAGACACGGTTAAAAGTTCAGGTGTACGTGTATCTATGAATGCTTTTTACCTTGTCAAGATCAGGATGGGTAAGAGCAACATGATCATTGCAGGCAATACAGTTCCCGAGTGCAGATAGCCTCTCATCAATTCTCTGAACGACTACTGAATCTGGTAGGCTGTTCCTCAGATGTTGAAGCTCTATAGTAGCAGAAAACAAAGATCAGTGAATAACCTAAGATAATAGGAAAGGGCAAATAAAGCATAGCATTCTTTTTCCCAGAGCAATGATCACTGTCATGTTAGCATAGTTAAGTTTGTTTCACAGAAATTCAAACGAACCTGATCAGCAAAAGAAAATTAAATTCACTAGCTGCATGTGTTTTAACTGCCTAAGCTATGGCAAGCTAAGAGTGTGAGACATGAAAAACCTACATACAATAAAGGCATTTACATTCTGGAAAAACATATCAACTCCACATGCAAAGCCTGTCCCATCTACAAGGATAAGGTCTGCGTACAACTGACCCTCCAGACCCCAACCTGTTTGGGAATATACTGGGTATGTTGTATAAGCATACTGGTGCTTAAACTAACTCAAGGGTATGCAAAACTTGACTGATAATAACTAAAAGCCATTTGAACTTACAAAGATTTCTGGACACGTTGTCATACACCAACAATAAAATCAGAAAGCAAAGTTGATGGTACGATTTCATCAGAGCAATCTTATTTATTAACCTAAATAGCACACATCTCTTTTTTCAGTTCTGAACCTCTGAAACTCATGCAACGTACATAGCTGCAGTTAAATATTTGAAAGAACTCAAAAATTTAAGAACTGTTTTTTCCATTTAATATATCATAATTATCCCAACAATTCATGATAATCAATAACCACAATACATAATATTGATGACATCTAATATCTATCTTAACTACAAACAATCACTCATCTTAGTGTATGGAGGTCAAAAGCATGCATTGGCCGAGATATACAAGCAAACATTAGACTGAAGACATATCACATACACAACTCAAAATTGAGATAAGTATATAAACATTTAGCAGACCTAACTCAACAAGCATTTATCAGTACTAACAGATATACACAACATGCATGTACTAAATACTACTATAAGGTTAGCTCTAACCTTGATCGGTAGTGTTGTGGGGCAAAAGCAACCCATTTTTGTTTCCTGCCAATGGAGGATTTACAGGGGCAAGCTCATCAGCCAAGAAATTCAAGCACCACTACATAAAGTACCACCAAAACAAATAAAATACAGGAAACACCCACCGGCACAGAGGCGTCCAATGATTCTAGTGCCAGAAATCGACGTTTTAACCACTGGAATTACATGAGCCAACTCAGCCTCGAACGTGCTGCCACCAAACATCAAGTCTTGAACAATAAGAATAAAAATACACCATGGCAATAAAAGCTACAACAAAACCGATACCTGTAGAAGTTCTCGGAGCCCCCAATTGCAACAAGGCAATAGGCATTGGTGAGCTTGGAGAAAACCCCAATCTCACAATTGTTCTCGTACTGCAATCCTGGTCCAAACATTTTAACACCGGTTACGTACTAACTATTGAAAATCAAACAGTAGGCTTACTAATTATATACATGGGAGGTACTCACTGGTCGCCATGGTTAAAGGGAAAAAGGTTCGAAGATGGAACAGACAACGGGACCTGCACAAACTCAAATTAAAAGATGAATTGATCCAAAAACTGCCATCAAAACTGAAATCCGAGTCGAACCAGCACAAAACACACACACGCACACACACAAATGAACACAATCAACTCATAGAATCGAAAAAAATACTGCGTAAAATCTATAAAGTGATTTAGTGTATGAAAACAACATAAAAATAAAATTAAAAAGAAGAATTGAACCTGAAAATTCCAAGAACTGGTGAATTTCTTCGGTTGCAGAGTGAGGGAAAATTGAAAGCTTTTGATGTTCTTGCGAGAGGAAAATGGAGAGGAAGAGGTATAATATAACGTGTTGTCTAGGGCTAAAATATCTGAAGAACAGGGTTTCGAATAAATTGGGAATAAGATGAGGGATGCCGACAAGTTCCGTAACTTGGGCCTGCTCGGGCCCGTTTTGTTCAATCCAACAATGGGCTAATCTGGGCCATGCATATTTAAAGTGAATAAATTACTTTTTTTCACCTATATATCTCTTTTTATTTATATACTTATAAAGAATTTTAATTAATTATAAATATATTCACTATGTTGTAAATGGTTGATATATAATATATTTTTTTCCATTGAATTCTATATTTTAATTTTTTTATTTTTATTTATATAATTTGTTTGTGAATGATATGAAAATAAAATCATAAATACACCGTCCTTCGGTAACTCATTAGAAAATGGTGGAACCTGATCAATTCCCATCGGTCACTAATCTAATTTTTACAAAATGGAAAAACTACCCAAGAAGAATTTTTTTTTTTTTGGTCGGAACGATAGAGGTAATATAGAAAAGCACAAAAGTGCAAAGGTACAAATTACAAGACCCCAACAGGGTAATAACTAAGGCCCCAACAGGATAATGAGACAGGGGCCAACGGCCCAAACCAAAAACACGCCTACTAAAAGAACATGAATAGAAAACTGAGAGGACACGCACATGGCGGCCTAGAGAACTCCACAAACGAAAATAAGGGAAAATGAAAAACATAGCCACTGCACAATGCCTAGCCTGTATTCATCTCCAACACAAAGACGAACAAAACACACAGAACAAAATAAAAAGACAACCTACAAGAAAATTCGGAAGCAAAAAAATAAAACGACCCTCCCCCGGAGAACCGACTAAACCGAAGAAGCAGCTACAACCGCCTTGAGGGAAGGTCCCTAGCCAAGCCCCAACCCCCGAAACTGCCAAAGGCCTAACAAGAGGCAGGACCCCGCCCCCGAACCCAACCTAAAAGACAGAACCCACTGACCGAGGAGAACGGTCAAGCGACCCCAACCGGAGCAACCCGAGCTAGGCCAACACCACTAGCCCAATCCCGAAATATCGGACCCCAAGCAACCCAAAGAGAGGTGCGCTGGGATAGCCGCTTCCAGCCCGAACCCCAACCCCGGCAACCACCACGCACGACACACAGCAGTCACCGGGGCCCCCCAAACCACCTCCAACGCCGCCCACCACCACAGCCGCATCCTCCCATTCTCCCACCCGCTCCTACCACCAACCACCCAGCAGGAACCGGGACCCCTGCTAAGCGCCCCAAAACCCCAACCAATGCTCTGAACCACCAATCCCAGGGACCCAAATGGGCCGAGACCATCCCAGCCAGACAATCCCGTCGGAGAAACCTCGGACCCCACTCGAACCCTAACCCCCAAGTTTCACCCTACGCCAAACCACCACACAAGCCAGACCAAGAAAGAGAGCAAACGACGGGGCTCCCTAACTCAACGAGCAACATCAACATGCTCGGATTAAGATCAGGAACCGCCGCCGGTCCCCCCACCACCAACGAACGGAGAAGAAATAAGGAGCGACGGCTATGAATGGAGGAGAAGTGTCAGCAGACGAGAGAAGGACGGCCAGCGGCGGCCGCAGATCCGGCCTCGCCGCCGCCGGAAGAGGCTAAAACGGAAGAGAACGAGAGGAGTCACGGAGTGATTTTTTTTCGCCCAAATCGCTATTCAGAGAGAGTGAAAAACTA